AACTGACAATGGGAGATAATACTACAATTCAATGCTTGGATCATATCTAATGAAGCATGGTATAATTCATCAAAGCTCATGTGTCGATAATTCTTAGCATAATGGCGTTGCTAAAAGAAAGAATCAACATTTGTTGGAAGTTGCAAGCATAATGGCTACCTATGTACCTAGGTATTTTTTGGGTGAGGCTGTTTTTACTGCTACATATCTTATAAACAAAATGCCTTTTCGAGTCTTGAAATTTCAAAGCCTTTCCCAATTCCTTCTCGGTTCTTATCCTCACTTCGAATCATCTTGTCTATTCCCATTAAAGTGTTTAAATGCATTGCATTTGTTCTTACCAGCCAAAAAAACCAAAAGCAAATTAGATCCCAAATCCATCAAATGCATATTTCTCGGATACTTCTCAAATAAAAAAGGATACAAGTGTTACTCACCAGTAACAAAGAAATTTTACCATTCCATGATTGTCACCTTTTTTGAAAATCAACCTTACTTTCCCAAAACTGCCATTTAGAGGGAGAATCCAATCACACGAGAATATCAGCTTTGGGAAGATCCTATTACCGAACCACCAAACACTTCTCCAACTCCTTTTCAAGTCCAAAACATCCAACCGGATCCCTTAAATCCCTTTCAGGTCCAAAACATCCGACTAGATCCTCCAAGCCCAAAGTCCACACAAGGGAAAAAAAACAAAGAATTGATTGTCTATTCAAGAAGACGTTAAACTTATAAGGATCTAGGAGAATGTACACCTTCAAAGCAAAGCCAAGAATCTAAACCAACTCCAAATATACTTAAAACCAACATAGGTAACACTTTTACTGAATCTGATTCAATTGAATCTTTTGATGATCTTGATCAACCGATTGCTCTAAGGAAAGGTGTGAGGTCATGTGCTCAACACCTAATTTGTAATGTGGTTTCTTATGAAGTTTTATCACCTAGTTATTGAGTTTTTGCTACCACACTAAACAATATGCAGATTCCCAATAATATTCATGAAGCACTCATGCAACCAAAATGGAAGATGGTTGTTTTGTAAAAAATCAAGGCCCTAGAAAAGAACAAAACATGGGAGATTTCAGAATTATCCAAAGGGAAGAATCCAGTTAGGTGTAAATGGATTTTACTGTCAAGCACAATGCAAATGGAAGTATTAACGATTCAAAGCTCGCCTTGTTGCAAAATGATTTACTCAATCTTATGGTGTTGACTATGAGGAGACATTTGCTTCAGTTGCTAAACTTAATTCAATTTGGGTGTTATTATCATTGATAGCAAATATAGATTGGCCACTCCACCAACTAGATGTCAAAAATGCATTTCTTAATGGTGACCTAGAATAAGAAGTTTACATGGAAATCCTTCTAGGATTCAAAAACCAAGACAATTCTAGCAAGATATGTAAACTTCAAAAGTCATTATATGGTCTCAAGCAATCCCCATGTGCATGGTTTGATAGACTAACAAAAGTGGTAAAGAAGTATGGTTTTTCACAATGCCAGGCTGATCACACCATATTTGTCAAATGTTCACTTGAAGGAAAAATAACCATTCTTAGTGTCTATGTGGATGACATTATTCTTAATGGAGACTATGTGAAAGAAATTAGCAACCTAAAGAACCTCCTAGCCGAAGAATTTAAAATCAAAGATTTGGGACACCTCAAGTATTTTCTTGCCATGGAGGTAGCTCGCTCAAGGAATAGCATCTTTGTTTCACAGTGTAAATATGTCCTAGATTTACTAAAGGAAACTGAAATGCTTGGATGCAAACTTGTTGACACTCTTATGGACACAATGAATAACGTAGGAATGGAAGAAAGAAGTCCACCAACAAATAAGGGCAACTATCAAAGACTTGTTGGGAAACTCATCTACCTCTCTCATACAAGAGCAGATATTGGTTTTTCGGTTAGCATGGTAAGCAGATTCATGAACAATCCAACTGAGGAACACTTGAAGGCTATGTATTGAATCTTACAGTACCTAAAGAAGAGTCTTGGCAAAGGGTTATTTTTTAAGAAGACATCACGCGGAAATGTTAAAATTTACACTGATGCTGATTGGGGTGGATTTGTTACTGACTGAAGATCAACTATTGCTTATTGTACCTATGTGTGGAGAAATTTGGTTACTTGGCGAAGTAAGAAGCAATTTGTGGTGGCTAGAAGTAGTGCGGAAACTGAGTTTAGAGCTATGTCTCATGGCATATGTGAGGGAATTTGGCTAAAAAGGTTGCTATGGGAGTTAAAGGTTTCTACAGAAGAATCCATGAAGATATTCTGTGACAACAAAGCTGCCATAAGTATAGCAAAGAATCCTGTTCATCATAATAAGACTAAACATGTGGAGATTGATTGTCACTTCATCAAAGAGAAGATAGAGGAAGGAATTGTTAGATTAGTTCATACTCCCACATGCCTCCAAATTGCAGACATACTCACTAAAGCTCTCTCTCGAAACAACTTCGAAAATCTGAAGTCCAAGTTGGGTATGATTGACATCTACCACCTAGCTTGAAAAAGAGTGTGGAAATCTAATCTTCATTATTACTTGATTAGTTGACTTTATCTATTTTAGTTAAGTCTCTTATTTTTAGAATAAGGAGTGATTTGGGTAATTACACCAAATCCATTAGATATTTTCCTATTATGTGTAGAGAGTAAATTTCTCCTTTGATTAGTTGTTTTAATGCATGAAAATTTTGGGTTTTAAGGCTGAGAATATTCAGTTTTTAGCCTATAGATATTCATGCAATTGTAGTATTGTAATAAGAAAAATATAGAAGAATAAAATAGTTCTATTCTATAGATTTCTTCGTTATGCAAATCGAAGAAGTCTTTCTATGGTTTAAAACAGTCACCAAAGGCTTGGTTTGATCACTTTGCAAAGTTAGTAAGGAGACATGGATTTAGCCAAGGACAAACTGATCATATTCTTTTTTTCAAACACTCACTACAAGGAAAAAAGACTATTTTGATCATTTATGTTGATGAGATTATATTGACTGGTGATGACACTAAAGAAATAGAGGGTAAAGAAGACTCTTGGAAAAAAATTTGAACTTAAAGACCTTGGAAACTAAAATTGCAAGGAGCAAGAATGGCATTAATGTTTCCAAAAGAAATATATGGTTGATCTCTTGAAGGAAACTGGTATGCTTGGCTGTAAACCAATTGATCCTATAAATCTTAATGTGAAACTTGGAAAGAAAAGGGGAATTCAAGTAGATAGGGGGAGATATCAACAAGTGGTTGGAAAACTGATCTACTTGTCTTATGTAAAACCTGATATTGCCTTTGCAATTAGTGTAGTAAGTCAGTACATGCACTCTCCATTTGAAGAGCATCTTGAAGTTGTGTATCGAATCTTAAGGTATTTGAGAGCCACACCTAGTAAGAGTTTGTTGTTTAAGAAGAATGAACAAAGAAATGTGGAAGCATTTACATATGCAAAATGAGTAGGATTAATTAAAGACAAAAAATCCACTTCTGGGTATTGCATGAAGGTTTGGGGTAATCTTATCACATGGGGGAGCAAGAAATAGTTTGTTGTTGCTCGAAGTAGTATAGTAGTAGAATTTAGAGCTCTTGCACAAGGAACTTGTGAATTTATCTAGCTGAAGAGACTTTTGGGAGAATTGAAAATGATAGATGAATACCCTATGAAACTGTATTGTGATAACAAGGCTGCTATAAGTATTGTTCATAAGCCGGTGCATCATGATCGAACAAAGCATGTGGAAGTTGATAAGCATTTTATCAAAGAGGAGATTGATATGGGAGTGATTTGTATGACCTATGTTCCTACAAAGCAACAAGTAGCAGATATCCTAACAAAGGGACTACATAAACTAAGCTTTGACACTCTTGTTGACAAATTGTTGGCAGATTATGTATCAAATTAGGATTAATTTCCTGATTTGTTGGGATATCAAATTGGGATCAATTTCTTGATTTGTTGGGATTTATATTTTTAATCTTTTATATGTTTTTATGTTTGGATGATTGTGTCCTAATTTTGTGGGTTTCTTTGTATATATCAATTCCTCTATATATTTGGGGATTCTTTTTAATAAAATAATATTGAGAGAACATTGTTTTTTATCTCTATTTTCAAAAACCATTCAAGCTCTTGATCGATGCAGTTGATTAAAATTATTGTTTGAAATCTTTTTTTTTTTTTTTTGTAAGTGGCAAGAGTCCAACCCTTATCATCTTTATTTTTAATTAAAGCTCTAACCATTTAATCAAATGTCATTTTTTTTTATTACCGGTGGATGGTTAGCTCAAGTGGCAAAGAGATTGTGCTCCTCTCTTTGTTACCTAGGTTTGAATCCGTTAGGGGGCTGTAGGAAGGTAATTTTCCATTAATTTGCTAGGCCCTGCATAGATAAGCATGCTTGGACTAGCCCGGATAGGGGATGTACTACGCAAAGCCTAAGAACCCCTTGCCGCTAAATAAAAAAATACATGTCATTTTTATTATTTTTTGCCATATTTAATATATATATTTAATACTACATTTCTATTTTTCTTAAAAAAGGACTTTGTGATTGAATCGATTGGTTAATCGGGAACTGAACCTCCATTGGTTCAATCCTCAGTTTGGTTATTAAAACATTGCACTTAACACTCCCTTTTGTGTGTAGGCTAATACTAACAACTAAAACACATGGTCCTAACACACGGACAATGAGTACAGTAAACAACATAAGAAAAAATAATTGGAGCAAAAATCAACTAGGGCTCTGATGCTATGTTAAGCACCTAATTTGGAACCAATTGATAATAAGTGGATGTGGTAACCTAAATATAAGGCCACAACCAATTTTGAACTTGGCTGATGGGAAGACACCATTTAACAAGAATAATAGCAACCATAGATTTTTTCGTTAGTACTTTCCATTTGATTGTAGAACAATTCACCTTTGGTGCATGTACAGACTTCAGTTTAATGTCAATGTCAAGAACCTATTGCTTTCTTTTGCAGGAAGATTTGTACTACCCTCACCCATTGGTGCAGGATATTCTTTGGGCATCACTTGACAAGGTTGTTGAACCTATCCTTATGCATTGGCCTGGAAAGAAGATAAGAGAAAAGGCTCTCCAAACTGTAATAGAGCACATACACTATGAAGACGAGAATACTCGTTACATCTGTATTGGGCCTGTTAACAAGGTGCACAAGGAAAAATAAACTCATAAATCTGAAAACAGTATATAAAATGTTATGTACATTTATTTGGTTCTTTTACAGCTTTTGCATTTCTCAAATTTTCAGATTATCGTGGAGTTTCTATTCTTTTTTTTTTTTTCTTAACTCTTATATTTGTTATAACGTATGTGGCATGATTAGTCTGTACCAAATGCAACTCATGCAATTCTTCTCTAATTTTTGGTTACTTCCTTATCTTATTATTCAACTCTTATATTTGCCTGTCTGCTATTTAATTTGCTGATGATAGGTGTTAAACATGCTTTGCTGTTGGGTGGAAGACCCAAATTCAGAGGCTTTCAAGTTGCATCTTCCAAGAATTTATGATTTTTTATGGCTTGCTGAAGATGGCATGAAAATGCAGGCACGTACACCATCTCATCCTTTATTTAATTGATAATTGCCATGACCATCAATAAAAAAACAAGAACTATTTACCAGATTTTTGGTATTAAGGAATTTTTAACTGATGAAACAGTATTACTGGATAGCTATATGTTCTGGTGCTAATCTTTAACTGTTGATATCTGAAGGTGGCTTCCATTTGATCTGGAAAATTATAATTGCTGCCTTATGAATAAATGTTCTGAGAATCTATGCACTATAATTGTGTCTATGTGCCTAGTTTTACTTTTGTACAGAATTTTGCAAGATATCAATAAGCATTTACAGTAGGCATAATGAACTTCTTGCAGGGTTACAATGGAAGTCAACTATGGGACACTGCTTTCACAATTCAAGCAATTATTTCAACCAACCTTACTGAAGAATATGGTTCAACTTTGAGGAAGGCGAACATGTACATTAGGAACTCACAGGTGGTCAATGCATTGGAAATATATTGGAGTTTATTCATTTGGTAGACTTCTTGGTATATTACATTTTTATCTGCTTTTTCATTGTTTTGAAGGTTCTAGAAGATTGCCCAGGTGATCATAATTTTTGGTATCGTCACATTTCCAAAGGTGCTTGGCCTTTTTCAACTGCAGATCATGGATGGCCCATTTCAGATTGCACAGCAGAGGGATTAAAAGTAAATATTCCTGGATTCAGAGAAATTTCCTTCTTATGTTTTCTTAATCTTTTTTTCCCTCTTCCAGGCTGCTCTTTTATTATCAAAAATACCCCCAGAGATTGTTGGAGAGCCACTAGAAGCAAAGCGGTTATATGATGCTGTAAATGTTATTCTTTCACTTCAGGTAATGCATTTTCTGGATATGATCAATCAAATCTTTATTTCTATCTATAGACACATGCATATGCACCACTATCACTAAGTTTTTGTTTGATAAACCATTGAAAGTTTTAATTTTTAATGACTTAATAAATTCAATGCATTTGGTTACTCATTTGATGACCTTTAATAGAATATTTTCGATAAAAAGTGTAGAAAGTGTTAAAGCATTTCAACCTTCTTAATGCATTCAATGAAATTTCTTTCCCTTTTACTAAATGTAAAATCCTTGTAAGATCATATATCTTTTTTGCAAAAGAATATTATAATGTTGGTATTTTCAAGCAAAAGTGTATTCTTGAACACGGAGATCAACATGAAGTAAATCACACATAAGAGATGATATTTAATGTAGTTCAACACTTGTTGCCTACATGCATGGATGGGAGAAAAATCCTCTATAAAAGTATAGATTACAAAAATACAAAACACCAATAAATACTAAACATGAGAACTGAAAGACACCTAGTTTCCATGCTCATTAGTGTTTAAACCCATGGAATACACTTTATCCCATGTAACCTAGTGTCTTGCTCCACTCTCCCTTTCATCCCTCCAACTCTGTGAAACTCTTCCAAAAAAACCCATCACCATAGAGATTACATCTCTCTAGTTCTAAATGCTAAGATCCACCCCATATTCATACAACCTATTATTTGGTCACCAAGAATTCCTACTCATTAAGAACTCTTATCCATTAAGTATATTTATCCCTTAAATAAACTTAATGGACAAGTGACTTTCAGTCAACAAAATTCTATTGGAATCCTAAACTGATTCCCAATTAGATTTTGAGTCAAATATCTTACAATATCCGCCTTAATTCAATTTCCACCAAAATTTTACCTTTGAAGAAATCCTGACTACACATAATAAAAGCTGTACCTAACTTTACCTGGTTCACACAATATGGCGATTACCCATGTGTAGCCACCAAGCCAACTCCATCCTTGTTGTCTCCATAGAGGAACCTCGAACTAATGACTTTGTGTCAGAATTTTCTCACTTATATCTGTATCCAAGGATCATATTAGTCAGCAACAACAAGATGTTTTTCTTTTTTTCCTCTATCAATCTCCCAGAGACAAAACTACCACACTCTTCTTTTAAGGACCACTTTGCCATATATGATTTCTTGGCAAACCAATATTACACACTACATATTTTTTAGACATGTCACACCACTCAAAAGTTGTGTACCACTCACCATGATTTAGGATATAATATCACAAGAAAATGTCAATACTTCTAGAGTAGTGAGAAAAATCTCTAAGGTATTCATTTTGTTCCATTCCTTTTAACCCAAAATTTGCACCTGTTACCTTCAAATCTTCAATACCATCAAAATCTTTTAATTTTCACCTAGATCCAGAAATTTGTTGGAGCACCGCTAAATCTATCAAGGATTATTTGCAGCAAATCTCCTTTTCATGTCTTTGATTTCACGAACACAATTTGCAAAAATAAAGCCCCTAAATCGAACCATTGTCTTTGTATCACTACTCATGCTTCATGATCACATATGATGATTCTTCAACCCGTGCTTTGATACCACTTATTAGGATGCAAAAGCGTATTCAACATTGGGCTTAACACAAATTAAAACACACAAAGGGACAATATTTAATGTGGTTCGACAACCATTGACTACATCTACAATGAGGAAAAAAATCCATTATAAATTAGAGATTACAAAAAGTGCAAAACACCGATAAAGGAGCACTAAAGGCGAGCCCTGAATCAAACCTAGTTTTCATTCTCATAGTCTTTAAAACCATGGAATACCCTATATCTCATGTAATTCAATGTCTTTCCCCCACTCTCCCTCACACTGCTACAACATTGTGAATTCCTCCTAGAATTGAGATCACCTAGAGATTACATCTCTCTCATGATTCAAAAGGCTAAGACCCATCTGTTTCTTGGTAAAATGATATGCTACACACTAAGTCTTACTCATTAAATATATTTATCCCTTAAATATTCTTAATCACCATGGAACTTTTAGCCAGTTGTATTTGAATCAAATATCTAACAAAATCTATTCAATATTTAATTTTTAGCAGCACAGCAACTGTTGCCATAGTATAATTTAGTCCTTAAAATTTTTTGTACTAAATTAAGTATTTAAGCTTTTGGTCAAAGAATGCCTAACTTTAAGGCAATGTGTCATGCTTTTTTTTTTTTTTTGAAGGTGTCTAATTGTTGGCAATGGTATTAATTTATACAGCTTCTGTGTGCTTAACTGGTTTACATCTTTAAATTTTGGATACTGCAATTATACTGAGACCAAAAGATAGAAAAGAAACCATGAATGTTATCAACATTTTAGCTCTTTCTATCTTGCTACATTTGGTAGACAATCATGAATATTGAGGCAGATCTTGTAATATTATAATGATTAAGGATCATAACTATGCATCTATTATCGTGTTACTGGCTGTGAAGAATGGTTGAAAAAGTTTCTCAAAACTAGTGATAAAGAATGAAATGAGAGGGAAGTAGGGAGACCTAGGATGGAAATTGATAAAAAACTGTAGACAAAAATCAGGAAATATCTTAGGTGAAGATATTCCTTACAACTCTTAGTGTTATATTTTGGTGGTTGTCTTGACTTTGAACCTGGAATGAATACATTTAATCCCACTATTCAATTAAAGAATCTACCCACTGCCATTTGTGGCATTCAAATATTTATATCAGATAAGCTCTGAATTTTTTAAGCCAAGATGATACTAGAATTGGGCTCTTGAACCATACTTCTCTCCAACCGAATGATAAAAATCTCTTTTGCCCCTGCTTCTCTTTGTTCAATGGTATCTTACTACTGATATGTTAACATATTTGAATGAACAAAACTACAAAAGTCTCTCATTTCTCCTCTCTTGTTTGCATCAGCATGTACTCAAGCACCCCTTCACCTCTGGATGCATGTATGCATGTCCTAATTCTGTATGAAAAGATCAAAATATCCCAATTCTTGCCTTTTGTGTATTTACATGCACATGTGCAACTCCTTCGCCCTTCCATTCCTTGAAAGTTGAAAATTTGGCATCAGCCACACATTTCAAAATATGAATGGACTGGGAAGCAGATGATCTCATTGACGTGAAATTCCAGCTACTCAAACGTACTAGTTCTGAATTTAGCTGGTACAAGGGACAGCATCACATTTTTATTTTTTATTTTTTTCTCTTTTGCCCTAGATATGTGGTGCAGAGAAGAAACAGAGTTGGGGGAGAAGATAGGAGAATGATGGGAAAAAAAGAACAGAGAGAGATATATGAGAGAAAGAGGAAGAAAAGGAAGAAGAGGGACTATTTTTTAATACCCCAACATCCAAAACTGAATAAAAACAACAATTGTAAATATATTGTTAGCACCATCTAGACCTAGTCCTCAACAGATAGCAAATTCCTAAATAACCATAATTATAAGTTAAACCATGATAAACCCCTCTCACCCCCCCTTTCACACACACATACACTTTGGTCCTTCATCACCTAGTTTTATCTTGGGAGCAGTGTTATTCAGAGCTCAAGGCTCTTGACATATTGATTAGATTTCATTTTCATATCTTTGCAGAACACAGAAGGTGGCTTTGCAACATATGAGCTCACAAGATCATACCCTTGGTTGGAGGTATCCCTTGTTATTGTTTATACTACTATTTTTAACAATATTTATACTTCATTTTGCATCTGTGTAGCATCAATCCTTGATAATCTCCCTCCTTGCAGAGTAATTCGCATTAACATGTTTATAATTCATTATTGGAAGGGGTGTGTTCTAATTTCAATTGCTGTCACCTGGAGAAAGATTATATCTGAACCAATAAAATGGTTTCTGTTTCCTATTTCTTTCTGTTTTATGGAGTTTCTTGTTCTTTGCTTGTGTGGTAAAACAATACGTTAGGTTTTTTGTCTAGACTCAAGCTAATGATAATAAAAGGCACTGGATATGGAATCTGGAAGTAAGTCATGATCATCAAAGCTAAACTATCGAGAGTATACAGGAATTAATAAGATTAAATTATTGCTCCCTCTTTCATGTTTATAGTTGCTTTTTATTTGGCTTTGACTATCATTTCATGTGTCTTAATATTGATTTTTCATTTTGGATAAGATCCCTTTCCTCTCTACAAACTGTCCTAAGTGCAATTGTCAGTAAGAATGAGTGAATCACCTCCTTGTTATGATCTTATGGTGACTAAATTATGAGGTTGCGATGGCCTCTTTGAACAGCCCTTCTTAATTTGGAAAATCAGGAGAAAGGTTCTTAAGAGCAACATGCTACAGAAGTTGAGTTGTGCTGCCCATGATATGGAATCTGTATATAAATCAGAATATTCCCTTGTGATCAACTGCAGAGAATGCATCTAGGTTCTTATGGCATATGGCATGATGAATTATTCTCTTCTTTCTCACCTCTAGGGATGAAATGTTATGTGAATTTTGGCCTGCAGATTGAGATCTATAACCTGGAAGTAGATAGCTTTCCATATTATCTGAAGTTATAGACATGAACTAGTATTTTAAATCAACTATGTAAATTTTGAAGAAAACATAAAATACCATCCATTGGTTAATGAAGGTTTTGTATTATTAATTGCAATGCCTGTTTTAGCGGTAAGCTGTAGAATACTTAGTGCAACATGTGTTTTGTTTTTTGCTAACTGTATTATTTTTTGTTAACAGCTGATCAACCCGGCAGAAACATTTGGTGATATTGTTATTGACTATCCGTAAGATTCCAGTATTTGAGTTTAATACCTTTCCATATTTTTCCCTTTTTTTTTTGTTTGCTTGAAGAATGTAGTTTAATATCAGTTATAATGGCTGTTCAGTTATGTGGAATGTACCTCAGCTGCAATTCAAGCTTTGACATCTTTTACAAATTCACATTCTGGGCATCGTCAAGAGGAAATAGACCAATGTATTCAAAAGGCAGCTAAGTTCATTGAAAATATACAAGCCTCAGATGGCTCATGGTTTGGCCCTAACTTTCTCTGAAACCAATGTTTTAGGACACTTTTGGTGTTTAGTCTTTAACTTCTATCTACAGCTAAAATTATTGAAATATTACAAGCCTCAAATGGTTCATGGCAATCTTTTTGTGTGACTCTTTTTGGTGTGTTAGTCTCTGAAATTTTCTAACTTAAGCTATTCCAATGTTTCAACTCTTATCTTTTTCCTAGCTTTGAACTCAATTTGAGTTATTTATCCTATCCAACTAGGTATGGCTCATGGGGTGTTTGCTTCACTTATGGTACATGGTTTGGAGTGAAAGGATTGGTGGATGCTGGAAAGAACTTCAATAGCTGTTCTAGCATCCGCAAAGCCTGCAATTTTCTGCTGTCTAAACAGCTGTCCTCAGGTGGCTGGGGAGAAAGTTATCTTTCATGTCAAAAGAAGGTCAGGTTTATTAACTTACCATGTGATGGTTCTCAATTTCTACTCAAGCATATGAGAAACATCTGAATTTTATAATCTTGCAGTTCTAATTTTGAGTAAACTTCGTTTAATATTTTGTTTTTACATCTAGATTGGGGCTCTTATTCACCTAAGTGGGAGTTTCCTTTGGGAACAACTCATGGGCACTTGTGCTATGGTTTGTGAAATAAAAAAACAAGAATGCTTAAAAGGCTCTTTTTTTTATTTCGGTTAGGATCTAATTTAAGGTGCCTTTTGCTATGCTTCAGCTTCTTGAGCCATTCATTATCCTTTTTCGTACCTAACAACTAATACTAACATCATCATTTTCTTATGAAGCTATTGATGCATCTCGAACTCATTGTGGTTGGATATATTGTCAACAACTTTTTAAATGCTCCCCTGTACAGGTTTACTCAAATATTGAGGGCAACAGAGCACATGTAGTGAATACTGGCTGGGCTATGTTGGCTTTAATGGCAGCTGGACAGGTAAAACATCAATATTTATTTTAATGTTTTCTAAATGGTCAGATGGGACTACAGTGATTGCTTTCTTCTTGAGCAACTCATGTTTTTTCCACCATAGTTGCTCTACGATCATGTGGAACCTTTTCTACATATTCCTGACGGCAAATCATCTTTACTAAATTAATTGAAATTTTGAATAATTTTGATGTGGTAATGTATGAGCTGCATGTGTCAGTCGTATAGCTTTCTGCAAAATGTTTCAACACTGAGCAAAAGTGATGCTTCCTGAAACATAGCTTTGTTGGTTTAGAAGTATCTACATATTTTGAAGGTTCATTATTTCTATTTTAAATTATTTAAGCAGGCTGAGAGAGATCCAACACCACTGCACAATGGCGCTAGATTTTTGATAAATTCCCAAATGGAGAACGGGGATTTTCCACAACAGGTAAATTATAAGATTATCTATGCACATGTTATTTAGGTTAAGGTTTTTTTTATTCAAATAAACGCAGGATATAGTATTTTTTAAAATGATAAAGGGATTGTCATCCGGTTTGTCCTTTATTTATTTATTTATTTATTTTGAATGGGTGCAGAAATTATTCATATCAAACTATGCATATGCTTTGATTAATTCGAAATTATTTACTTGCAGGAAATTATGGGAGTGTTCAACAAGAATTGTATGATCACGTATGCTGCGTATAGAAACATTTTCCCTATTTGGGCATTGGGAGAATATCGTACTCGTCTATTTCAGCCGTCGTAGAGCAAATGGTGGTAATAACTATTGCTGATAATGTTCCCCTACTCTGTTTTCATCATGTTAATTGGTACTTCTCAGTTTATGGAAAGTGGCTAAACCCCTTTTGTTGTTTTAAGTATCATGTTTCTTGAAAAGTTGCTAAACCGCTTTTGTTGTTTTAAGTAACAAGGTGGGTGGAACACGAGGACAGAAAGGGGGACCCAGTTTGAGTGTTGATCTATTGGCAATCATTGGAATGCCCATTTCCTTTTTTTTTTTTTTTTTTTTCTTGTTATCTAAAGCACCACATAATGAATTTTTATTGTAGAAGATTTACCATCGCTAGTGATTACTCTCAGGTTAACAATTTTTTAGCGTAAAAAGATTCAATTCGTTGACATAATAAAACATGGATAAAATCAACAATTTGGATGCGCTAAATCCAGAATTCTATCGTCAAGAAACTAGAATTCTACCATCAAGAAACTACCACTTGATTGTGACAGTACCGCACCTATTGTTACTACTCTGTTTGTTGACATAAATTCAACTATGAACCAAATTATCAGTTCAATCACTTCGTTCATATTAAGGTTACAAAAATCAAATTATATTGATTAAAACCAACCTTATAAAACGAAGGAAAGCAATGAACTCGCTAGCTTTTTCTTTCGTAATTTTTTTGGTTATTGAAAATTTTTCTTTCTTCTTCCCTTTTTCTTTTCTACTAGAACAAAAAATGTTACTAAGTGCAATATAAATATGGACAGAAATCAAGTTATACTAAAAAAATTTTATTTTTTTTTCTATTTTTAAAATATTAATTTTAATAAATTCAAAGAATGAGATGAAATTCTTTTATTTTTCAGTTTTACTCATCTCTTTTAGTTCTATTTAAATCAATGGCTTAAAGATGGTGTGAAACTTTTTAATTTTATATTGCTATAAGTTGATCATTTTCCTATATATAAAAGTGTAAATATAAAAGTGTAAATTTCAAAAGTGTTAACAGTGATCAACCTAAATACTTCTATAAATTTGTAAATTAACAAATTTATCTTTAAATATATAACTTTTATTAATTTATTTAATATTTTAAAATGTTAATTCTAAAACTATTAAAGTGGTTGATTAAAATATCTTTAGTAATTGTTTTTATAAATTTTAATTTAAATGAATTTTTGTGTTATTAGACTCTTGTTTTTATAATTAGACTAAAATGTGTTAAAAGCGATTGACTAAACCCTTAATAAAATTTTAATTTCAAAAATATTAAAAGTAATTGATTAAAATACTATTAATAATTTTTATAAATTTTAATTTAAATGACTTTATTTTCATTATTAAACTCCATTTATATAAGTAAAAATGATTTTTCACATCAAATGAGAATACAAATAGAATGATATCAAATGTTATTAATTTTGTAATAAACCTATGATGATTTTGTAGTAAACAATCGAAAACTAAGTAATAAATCAATTATAACATAGTAGTAAATGCATAATAACATAACAGTAAATCATTGATAATTTAGATGTAAATTATTAATAATTTAGATGTAAATTATTAATAATTTAGTAGTAAATCACTAAAAATTTAGTTGTAAATTAGTGATAATTTAGTAGGAAATTAGTTAATCATTAATAATTTTGTAGTAAATTATTGACAAATTAATATTAAATCAGTTATAACTTCATAACAAATTATTAGTAACTTAGTATAAAACATCAAAAATTTAGTAGTAAATCAATTATAACTTAGCAGTGAATCATTTATAAATTGGTAGTACATCAATGCTAATTTAATGGTAAATCATTGATAATTTAGTAACATATCATTGATAACTTATTAGCAAATTACTGATAACATAATAATAAATTAATAATAACTTAAATATCAATCATTCACAATTTTTTTTTTTTTATACTTGAAGTTGTCAGGAATTGAATCTTGATTACTAATAGAAATAGAGCTAAAAATTTTATCTTGAGAGTCCAGGATAAACCTACTATGAGCCTATTCAATAAAAGAAATTTAATTAAAAAAATTCTAAATTTGAATGAAACAATATGTTAATATATAAAAAAAAATCTCATACTAGGGCTTATCCCACGTTTTCCTATAGGAATCCATTGTTAAATATATGATAATTCAAATTTTTATCAATAATTACCAAAAGTATATCATAAGTTATCAAAATTACAAAAATTACATCAAGAGGTTATTAAAATTTTATAAAAAATTATTAAAACTATATCATAAGGTACTAAAATTGTATCAAAAGTTACCAAAATTTTATCAAAGGCTATCAAAATTAAAATTATATAAAAATTATCAAAGTTTACTTATATTATACTAAAATAAAAATTAAATTATTAGTATTTATCATTATCATAATATCAAAAAATTATTTATTTAAATAAATTTTTAAAAATAAAAATTACACATGCACCATGCATGTGTCAAAAACTAATGTGTATATATATATATTTATATTCATCACTCAATTATCAATGAACTAAGTACGGAATAATTAAAGAGTTATTGTTAAAAAAAAAAGGTTTTAAATATTATATAGACTAAAGTTTAGTTTGTTATTGAATTTTGTCATTATATTTTAAATTTTGTTGTAATAAAAAATTTGTTGATTTTTGGAAGGAATTTATAAGAATTTATCAATTGCATTAATATAATATGAGTTAGTCTTTTAAATTGTCAGTGTAAATTTTTAACTTATATAAATAAGGTTAATAAGGTGATAAATGTATAATTTTTTAATTATTTTTTTATTTTTTAAATATACCATGAAAGATATGTGTCATTGTATTAACCTGCTTGTGTAATTAATAATTTATGTTGACACTGTAATAAATTGAATTATAATATAATAGCATTTTACTTTAGTCTTTATATTATACAAATGGTTTCATTAACTAGTGTTTTAAGAGCATTCTTTAAGATTAGTTAAAATCCTATAAATAATAATATTATTGTATTAAATGTAGTAATTGACACTTAATATAATAATGGTACTGTATCTAATTATTTCTTTTTTATAAATGTGATATTGAAGAACATAATGAGAGGTAGCTTTCTCATAAATTTGGACTTACTTATTACAAAATTTGACTTTGTGACAATTGTAAATCCTAATACATCTGACTATATCTCTCTCTTTATTTTTCTCTTTTATCTTTATTTATTTTCCTTGTACATATGGATTTGATTAGAGTGTAATTTACAAGATTTCTCATTCATATCCCCTAGTGGTATCACTAAAGGTTATGTATATATTTGTACCTAGTAGTATAGAATAAATACAATAACAAAAATTTAGTATTGTGAGCCTTTAAATTTGGTTGAAGATGAAACAAACTTTTTATTTTTATCACTAACTCTCCAATTAGCCAATCTTATATTTATAAATCATGATCAATGCTAACTTTATTGCCATAACCCCCAATTGCTAAAAAAAATTAAAAATGGCTTGACAACTAATCCGCGAATGGTCTTAGTGTATAATTAATATCCTTTTATCACATAGTATCTCAGTTTGAACATTGAGTATGGTTTAGTGTGTACTTAATCTTGTTCAACCATGTTAAATCTTGTCATTGACATTAACTCACAAATAAGCTGTAGAACATATCTAAACTCTTATTTTACTTTGGCCAAAGATTTCTTAAGTTAATTCAATCAAGACTAGTTGAGAAACCCTTTTGATCACATAAGGTGATGAGTCCCAAGTTGATTACTTCATGCATCAATATGCCTCATGTTATACCTAACGATACTCAACTGGAGCATTCTTGGTTAGAACTATAAGTAAAGTCAAAGTATAACATTCATCATATAAAATCATAAGTAATCTCAAGTCAAAAGATCACTTATACAACCATCACATAAGAATATAGCTATAAATACTATTTGAACTACCATATAGCATTTTCATATCGGGTCATGTTCATTGAACTTGTTCTTGTAACAAGCAACCACATGTTAGCTCAAGTTTTCCCAACATCAACCTATGAGATTGGTTACTTACTTTATAAGTAACATCATAACCATGTGCTAGTCTTAATAGTTTTTTTCAATGTCTTTTTATTGATAAAGCATCAACTAGGAACTATTTTAGAATATATAGCTTTTATGCAATAATAATCTCATAATTATAGTCTCATTGTAATTCCTTTACAAAGCTTTTATTTATATTCTAAGGACTTTATCATATACATTAAAAAATATATATAAACAAGCTCAATGATAAATAATAAGACCTTTATAAGATATCAAATATCAAAGTACTACAAATATGATAATGTCTTAAGATGATTTGGCTTGAAGGGCAAATACCACAACTTCACCAATTGACCATCATTTAAAAGGGCCAAGTGGTGAGATGTAAAACAAGCATCCAACCTATTAGCTAAATGGAAAAAAAAATTAACGTCAGTGGTCTCAGGTGGTCAGAAGTTATCTAAAAGGAAAAAAAAAGTTAACCCATCTAAATGGAATAGGGTAAAATGTTATTGATCCTCGATTTATGGCATCAGATGAAGAAGACTTTATAATCATGTCATGGCTATAAGTATCATGCAACTCGAAATTAATAAAAATTGTATGTTTCTTTTTACGACTAAGGATATTTGGAATGATTTGTCAAATGTATTCCAGAAGCATGATATAGCATTGGTTTATAAGCTAAAGACCAAGATTTTGACCTTCAAACAAGGTAACCTTTCTATTATAGATTATTATGATACAATGAAAGGCTTGTGGTTGGAATTAGATTATTATCAAGATCTTAAAATGAAGAGTAGTGAAGATACCTAGATAGTATTGAACTTTGTAGAGAAAATAAAGTGTTTGAATTTCTTAATGGCCTCAATATTGAATATGATCAAGTAAGGGTGCAAATAAAGTTTTCCTCCATTAACTTAAGTTTTCTCTTTATCTTGCTTTGAGGAAAGTCGTAGGATTGTTGGCTGAAGCCATAACAACTTGAAAGGTTAGCAATGATCTTGAAAAAACTAACTTAAAGTAGTGTATGGTTGAGTTATGTTAACAAGGGGACAAAACACTAGAAGTTAGCAAAATGAGTAGTTTATGGTGTAGCTATTTCAAAAAACCACACCATATAAAAAAGAATTGCTTTAAACTTCACAGGAAGTGCTAGCCAAAAACAATGTATTTAAAAGACAATAAGGTTGAGTGAATCTTATTAGCAATGAGGAGGCTCAACTGTAAGGGAAAAGTACTCCAACAAGTGACAATCCATGCAAATTGAATAAAGAGGAAATTGAAATGCTAAAGTACTTCCTCAAATCCTAGTCTAAACCATCCTTTTCATGCTTTTTTACACAATCTGATAAGTGGTTGTTAGCTTAAGTGTAGAAAACAATCCAAGAGGGGGTGAATTGGATTGTCCTAAAATTGGTTTTCAACAATAAATTTCAATTAAATGTAAAATGAGAAATAAAAAATATAAGAAATATATGAAATTAGTGCACAACTAAAAACTTGAAAGATAAAAAGAGAAAAGGTTAGAGAAATCAAATACAAATATTTAT